CGAATCGACGTGAGAAATATTTTTCGACCTGTCTATATAAACTGCAACTTTGAAAAACGTAAGTTTATGTAAAATATTATAATTTTTGTAAGTACCTATAAAAATACAAGCAGAAATTAAAATATTTATAGAGATTTGCAAATATATGCTATTATGTAAAAAATATTAATTAAATATTTAATACATTTTTGCTCAAATGTCATTTGACCACTTTGTAATTTTTTGCAAAAAATAACATTAAGCGAAATAAAAAACTGAAAATTCGTAAAAATTAAAATTCCCAAAATGACTATGCCAGACCAGCTCACTGTGTTAAAAAAATGTCATTGATTTTCTAAAATGTTAAAACTTTTATGAATACCAAAATTTTTTTTTGGGGTTTCAAGGAGAGACTACTGAGTATACTTCCTATGAGTTTTATTGCAACAGGAGCGGTCGAACACATAAATAATTAAAATTGTTTATAAAATTGTTATTAAAAATACGGAATTTTTAAATTTACAATCATGCAAATATTTTCTATTAAAAGAGTGTAAACAATGTTGTGTAAATAGTGTAAGTTTCATTAATTTATTGTAAACGGCTTTTGAATTATTAATTTTTTTTAAATTTTGTAATATTTTGTTAATGCAAAAAATATAACAAAAATTTAAAATTTTAAAAAAACGGTTAAAAGTGTTTTATTGTTTTGTTGTGAACTACAAATTTTCATAAAATTTCAAAATTCACAAAATTACAAATAGCAACAGTAACAAATTCATAAAAATATCAATTCGAGAAATGCAAATTCGCAAAAATAAAATTAGCAAAACAACAATTAGCAGAAATAATGATACACAACAAAGCAGTTTCGCAAAAAATAACAATTAGCAAAAGTATATCTAACAATTTGTAAAACTTTCAATTGCGAAGAATGCAAGTTTGCAAAAATAACAAATTTGCAAAATAACAGTAAACTAAAATAAATATTTGTAAAAATGTAAATTTGCAATAATAATTCTTTGCAAAAATAACAATTGGCGAAAATGACAATTTAATGAATTCCAAATCGCGATTAATCAAACTCTTTAAATTTGAACTTGAAATTCCAAATAGAATGCATCCCCGATTCAAATTAAACCAAGATGACATTAATCCTTCACTGTGCTATATAAATTTGGAGTTGGAAATTCCAAACTCAAGCTTGTTGATTTTTTATTTGACAGGACAAGTGAAATGTAGTATTCGAGAATCCAAATTGAACCAAGTAGATACTTGAACTTAATTTTTATATTTGGAAATGCAAGCTGATACTTGTAGTACGTGCGAACTTGGAAATACAAGTAGAAATGATAAGATTGGAAATCCATGTTAAAACAAGTCGAAACAAAAATTGAAGAGGACAATCCAAGATAGAACCATTTCAATTTTATCTTGGATATCCGTTTCAGTTACATAAATAGGATTTCCAAGTTAAAACCAGTAGAATTGCTACACGGAAAAGTTTTTCAATTTGGAAAGCAAGTTGACACCAGTAGATCCATGTTCAATTTCTACTGGTCTCAACTGGTTCTTTAATATAGGGAAATGTAAAGTATCGTTAAAACTTGAAATTTGTGCGTAGACCTTTTTTGACAATAGAATCGCGGGTCTATTGTTACGAGGTTCGGGTTTCTAACCTAATTTTTATTGCTCAAAAGTTTTGCATTTTTAAAATTTCAAGTAAAATGAATATAAATTCAAAATCTAGAAATCTCCACAATTACTAATATCTAAAATTTATTATAAAAAACATTTTTTTAAGAAAACTGTAACGTATCTCGAAAACCGTAATTGATAAATAAAAAAGGATATCATTTTTGAATTTAAGTTCTAAAGGATATACCCTGCCGGAAGAATGGACTGAAATTGTACTGGGGAATTACTACTGAGAGCTCAGTGCTATTTCAGTGAAAATTTGCTGCGTTTCAGCACTGAAATTGTACTGGGAAAAATTACCTGCAAAAGGGTCGCTATCGGTGATGTTTATGGCTTGTCCGTCATTAAGTTGAAGGACGAATATTTCTTTGTTAATGTTAAAAATAATTTTTATTTATATTTCAACATTATATTTGTTTTTCATGAACTCAGATTCTTTACAAGTATTTATTAGGTATGCTAAATATTAATGTTAATCTGAATTCAAAAATAATATCCGTTTTTACGTAACAATTAGAGTTTGCGAGATAGTTTATAACTTTTTTAATTAAACATTTTTTATAATGAATTTTAGATATTTGTAATCATAAAACATCACAGAATCAAATTTTTTTGTTTTGAAAATTGAATTATTTAAATTGTAAACTTTTTAAGCCATAAAATTATAACCCCTATACAACAATAGGCTTTCGTTTCGGGTCTATTGTTAAAGCAGGGGTTGCAATATAAGTTTAAAATTAAACGGGAATTTCGTTGAAAATTTTGTTAACCTTTTTTTATTTTCACTTCCAAACTGTTAACAATGGTTTGTTGACATAACCTACATTTAAAATTATTGTTAAAGGACTTTAAAAATGTCTACCGAAGCATTAAAAAAACGGACTTAAATTGTACTGGAGGCCAGTAGAATTTCAGTACTTTTTCAGTCTATTCTTCCGGCAGGGTATTGCATACATAATAAGAGAGATATCTGACGAGATGAGATCCTGTGGTCCATGGGTCCCCATAGGACCCTGCGCGCGTTGAGTAGAGGGGATGACTACCCCTTCCTTTGAACTTCCCTGTGACCAATACAACCCTGACGGAGTGTTATTTTACAAGTTATTTACACATTCATACTATTCTTTCATTATTTACATTTAACATTAACAATATATGAAGTTAATTAATATTTGTATATTTAATTACCATAGAATTATGGTAACTTTGAATTACTAATAAGATATTACAATAAATGTAGATAATTTGTATTATAATACAACTTATTATTATTAATTTTATTCTTATTATTATTATTTATTATTGTTATTTAATTAATCAATAAATTAATTAACAAATTCTATAACTTTTATCATTAATTAAGAGTATCTAATTATTTAACTAGTAATGAAATGGTAAACAGTAATCAATTTATAATCGTTGTTTTATAAAATTGTTAGTGACATACATAGAATTAAAAATAAGAAATTCATATCAAATTTGAATATTGTAATTAAATAGAAAGCTCATTTCTTTTTCTTATATACGAAGGATGAGTCATAGGTTTTTCCTGACGATACAATACCCTTTTTTTTATACCGGGGACTCGAGTAAGGCCCGAGTCCCACGGTCCCTTTTTTATTGCTACCACATGTTTGGGTTTTCCCAACGGTTTCGAAGTTCGGAAATATGTATTTCTCAAAAGGCTATTTTTTTATAGAAATAAACTCTGTTTCTTTTCAATTCTAATTTTTTGTGTCCTACGTGACATTTGCCTCATTTTCGCAGACTATTTCAACATCTGTAATTTTAACTATTATTCCTTTTCAAAAAGCAGCACATGTTTGGTTGCCATTCTATTTCGTTCTTTAGATTTTTTGCATGTGATAAAATTCTTTACGGAAATAAGCAAATAAATGCATGCGTTTTTATTTTACATTAAAATTCAATTATTATATTGATATTAATTTTGAATCCTAGCGCTATTACCTAGTTACTTCCGTACGAAGAGTTACGTAGTGTTTTTCCCTAGCGGAGAATTACGTGAATGCGTTGGTTTAAGGCCAAAGCAGCATTGAAACGTAACCGCAATCCTTAACGACAGAATGAGTTAGAGAACGATAGGTATATTATTTAACCTTCTCTAACTCATTCATCCGTTAACACTTAACAATTACGGTTACAATTCGGGTTACGTTTCTATTCTGATTTGGCTTTCACATACACTGTAAAAAAATCTGGTGTAAATTTACTATGTCCGACGTTGGAAAGTTTGGTCGACTAGTAACAGTTTGACTGATTCATAGGTATGTCATTGACAACGTATTACCGTATTTGCCTAAAAGGTGGCGCTAATAGGCTCTCGAAAATTCAAAAGGATCATCATCTTGCCCCAGGGGATCATCTCGTACACCTTTCCCCTACATACTACTTCTACTTTTAATGTCAATAGATATTTAACAATAATGTCTATTAACATTTCTCATTTTCTGATAAAGTAAATGAAAAATTTCATTTTAGTATTTCTTTAACACAAATCAAAAAACAGAAATTTTCTTAAAATTTGTATTATAAAATATAAATTATGACAAATTTTTTCATTTAATTAAAGAAAATAGAATATGGTTAAAAATCATTATTGAAAAATAAAAATCATACAAATACAAAATTTGGAATTTAGTTATAAAATTGTAGTTGAAATATTGAAATAATGCAAATTATTTCCTTTTTAAAAAAACAGAATTTTGTTAAGAAATTTTTATTAAAAATAGAAATTATGTACAATTTTCTAATTTTTTTATAAATCATTTTAAATGTTTCGAAGGTTTCATTATCAGGAACGATAGAACAATCTGAGAAAAAGTTCATGTTTTTAAACATTTAAAGTTTAAACCATTATGCTAAACGAAATTTTAACTATTCGAAAATTTTTCAATTAAATACTATTATATTAAAAAATTAAATGTTTCAGAATAAAATGAAAATAATTAAAAATTCAAGTTTGAAATATTTGGAAATTAAATTATTTTGTGATATAGTTTTTCAAGAGTTAAATTATTTTAAAAAAATCAATTTCATACTCCAAAAAGTTTAATTATTGTAAGAAATAAAAATAAATAAAATATAATTAAATTAGGAATAAGAAATTTAATTTTAAGCGTCTTTAAATGTTTGAACTTTTTTTATTTTGTACACGTTTTTAAATGAATGTGTAAATTATTGATTTGAGAACGATTTTAAAATTATAAATTTGGCGCCCGTTTTTCGGTCGAAAAAGAAGATTTCTACATTACTGTGAATAGTTAGCAGTTTGCCATCAAGTTTCCACTTTCCAGCTCTACAGTATTTCAAGTAAAATGCCGGAAAGTTGTTGAACTTGTTGAAGGTCAATTTAACCTAAAAGAAATAAATAATTGTAAACGTGACAGAGTGTTAAATATATATATTTAATTTAAAAGACTTACTTTTTCAATATTGGAAATGTCAGTGTACGTGCGAATGAAGAAAATCATTTTATGATTATCGTTATAAAAAATTTAATTTCAGTGTTTGTAATGTGTACATGAGTTGTCCTTTTTCAAATTTATAAACTATTGACTATATTTTAAGTTTTCTAACAAAAATCAAAAATATGAAGAACTTACAGTATTTCTTGTTTTCACTGATCTACATATTTTCCGATAATGCATGTAATGCTCTTCCCAGAAATTTCACAGAAACGTCAAAAGGATTCGTAGTTCCTTGTCCGACTGTTAATTTTTTTCGTGATTCTAACTATACAAAATCATGTTTTCATGATGATAAATTTAACACATCTCATTTAATGTGCTCAGCACTCTACGATTTAGGATTCAAATGGTGCACAATGAGTTCACTGAATGTAAATTTACCAAAGTTTGTAGATGCGACTCAATTTGATAAAGTTGTTTCAAACTTTGATAATGTAAATGATGTGATGAAATTTTGCACAGTAAAAAAGAATGTTACGAATAAAAATGATACGAAACTTTTAGAATCGTTTTACAAAAACTTAGCCGTGTGTGCAATAAAGTGTTTAAATTCTGAGAGAAACAATGAAGAACCAATAAAATTATGTTCTGCATTAACTTTTCTCGAATCAAAGATGATTTCATCTAATGTGACAATTACCAAACAGCAAACAGTAAATGAAGAACCAAAACAGGATGAATCAAGCAAACCTGCTGCTAATCCTTTAAATAACTCTGATAAAAATAGTGAAAAAATATCGAATGTTAATAATGAAAATCTCCCAAGTGATACTAACTTAAAAGAATCACCTTTGAAAAGTGTAAATAGCCATCCAGTTATCGAAGAACAATTATCGAAAAAGAATGAACAAGTTCCAGTGCAAAAAGAACCCTCTAATTTAGAAATTGAGGGAAAAAATGAACAAGACAAAAAAAATGATAAAATTCCTAATCTTGGTGATAATGCTGATTCAAGGACAGATCAAAAAGTGCAGGAGAATCCAGTTATTGAAAGTACAGGAAATAGAGCTAATCCAGAGGTTCATAAATCTGAAGCAGATGGCACAAAATCTGATAGAATTGAGTCAGGTTCAGGAAAAACGGCAAAAAAGGTTTCAAATAATGAAGAGATTAAATCAAGCACTATTTCAGAACATACGAATGATGGTGCCGCTTTTTCTGAAGATGGTGAAATTCCTATACTTAGTAAGTTTTTATTACATTTTAATTGCACAATGAAACAATTTTATGGGTTGTATTAACAAAAATATTTTTCAATTTCTTCTTAGGTAATGATGCTGATCAACGTGATGACATTGCACTAAGTAAATGCTTAATTTTACTAATATTCCAAAGTAGTATTTCTGGGTTGCCACAGGTCAGGGAAATCAGGAAAAAGTCAGGGATATTTAGTAAAAGTACTGGAAAAAATTGAATTTTTAAAATTCATGAGAAAACTCTGAATTAGTGTTGCCGCGATAATGGCGAGATACGAGACGAGACGAGACGAGACGAGACGAGACGAGAAAACCATTACACGAAACATGATGAGACAGTGTTTTTTTAAATATTGTTAAGTCGATACGTGACGAGAAAGGAGTCACGAGGACGAGAAATCGTGATTTCCATGCATTTTAAACGCTCGAGACGAGACAAGACGATAATGCATAGGATTCTCGACGCTTGAGACGAGACGATAAATCGCCTTAAAAGTACGAGACAAGACGAGATTGAAAGAATTCTCGCCTCGTCTCGTATCGCGGCAACACTACTCTGAATTTTAATGTTTTTTTTGTTTACCTCGTAAACTATGAAATTACAACGAATTTTAATACAAAACCTTCAATTTTTTCTATAACTTACAGTAATTTATTTTCAAATAAACTAATTTTTCAAGGGCAATCATAAAATTATTACTTAGAAATTATTTAATGAATAATTTTTACAATTTTCATAAATACCAGATTGATAGAAGAATTTTAGTTAAAAATAAGTACTAAAAAAAATTGAATTTTGGAAAAGTTACAAATGATTCCACAAATTCAATTATTTTCAAAAGTTATAAAAATTCTTCCGAAAATTTCAATTATATTCAAAAATTAAAAAAAAAATTCTTGGCAAAATTTCACAGAAATTCAATTATTTACAAAATTATTAATAAATTTCTTCGAAATAATTCAATTATTTTCATAAGGAATAAAATTTTCATACGAATTCAATTATTTAAAAAAATTTAACAAAGTTCTTTTGAAGAATTCAATTATTTTTATAAACTTGAATAAAATTCGCTGGAAGCATTCAATTATTTATATAAATAATAAAATTCTTCAAAGAAATTCAGCTATTTTTATAAAGTTGAATGAAATTCGTTGGAAGAATTAAATTATTTTCAAAAATAATAAAATTATTTGCAGAAACTCAATTATGGGGACGCATGAATATTCCCCACATTGAACTTGCAACAATTTTTGTGGTATCGAAATAAAAAACTTAAAATATCTACTTATTAAAACTGCAATAATTCGAGTTTTCTTTTAAACAAATTTTTATCACAAGAAATTAGTATTTGAAAAAATATTTATTAACTACTTTTTTCATTTGACTGTATTTTAATTTATAAAAATATCCATGTAGGGAAATATGAAAGAATAGAACATTTAGTTTTTCAGAGTTTTTTACAGTATGTATTTTGAAAAATAATAATTTTGCTTAAATGAAATTTTAAATACATAAAAACTTATATAAAGGGATTATAACCTAAATGATTTGTCTATTATCAGAATTTGTATATAGCAGCATTTTAATATTATCGAATTTTTATGTAACGTATAATATAATGCACTCGAATTGTAGCCTGACAGAATTTAAATTTAACCATATTTTGGTGTGCAACCATTAATATATAGTTGAAATTATATTTAAAATAATTGTTGCAAAAAAAGTTAGGACAAATGAAAATTCGACATTCTAAAAGTTTAATGCTTTAAGGCCTAAACACAATAGGTTCGCGAAAGTCGTTCGCGAACGCAAAGCATGAGTTAGAAAAGGACAGAGATATATTTGTGTCCTTGTCTATCTCATGTGTCTCGTTCGCGAACCTATTGTGCGTTGGATTTTAGAAATTCGACGTTTTGAAAATTCTGTTTTATAAATTTGGTACTTTGGAAATTCACTCATACGAAAATTCGGTTAACTACAGATATGGTTAAATAAAAATTTGATTAAATAAAAATTATTTAAAATATAATTTCAACTAAATATAAATAGTTGTACATCAAAATTATGTTAAATATAAATTCTGTGAGATTATAACTCGATTACATATATTTTACGTTACATAAAAATTCGATAATATAGAAATACTACGATATACAAATTCTGATAATAGACAAATCATTTAGGTTATAATCCCTTTATATAAGTTTTTATGTATTTAAAATTTCATTTAAGCAAAATTATTATTTTTCAAAATACATACTGTACACGGAAAAAATAAGTTCAGCAGATTTTACGAAACTAATTTCGCACTAGCGGATATTTAAGATTCCTTGACGAAGTTTTTCAAAAACCCAGAAACTTTCACTACTTTAAGCAGAACAATTGTCGAGAAACTGCAACCAGTGTTGTAATTTATAAAACAAGCTTGAATGTAGAAATGTTTCGTATTTTCTGGTGAACATTTTATCAGAAAATGGTAAAAATGTTTCGTGCAATCTAAAAACGCGTGGTTTGAGTTTCCACTTCGCTGTCTATCGTGAATTCTCGAACACAAAGTTTCGTAAAATTCTATACGGGGTGTACCAAAAGTCGCGTTATACATAGATATGTTGAAGCTTGTCTCGTCGCGTCGGTATTAACTTGTCTGCTGTATATAGATATAATATGTGGAAGGAAAAAGAGAACTGCTTTACCTGCCGGTAACATTTGGATAATTGTTTTCTTTTACGTATTTCACATTTCATTGTTCCAAATTCGTAACATTTTTTATGTGCTTTTGTAATCCAAACTTTTAATTATTATTAATTTCTTTTAATTTACATTCCAATAAATTTTATAGTTTATCATAATATTTACCGATGACAATATATATATTAATTTCTCAAGTTTTAACTGTTATTACTTCAAATTTTAGACAATTTAATATAAACATTTTTTGAGTTTGAATTTAATTTTGAAAATTTTTTGTCAATTTATTAATAATTTAAAATTAAGAATAAAATTATTTTCTAAAAATTGAAAAATTTTATAGAGATTTTATAACTAATTATAATCAAAAAATGTTATTTTAAAAACCATAAAATATTTTTTATAACTTTTAAAAAAATGATTTTTTTAAAAATTAATATTCAGTATATTGACATTTCTCACAAGCGCAGTTTTAATCTCCTCAGTTAGTATATAAAGAAACTCAATTCTTTCATCTACAAGTGCGAGTTATATTGTATGTGCGTTGCGTCAGAATTCGTTTATATGTATGCGTATTTCCGTTAAGTTAGTGTCAGAATAAAATAAGCCAATCCAAGCGAACCATTGCGTTGTAGAGTGCAGTCACATGTGTCGAACCAATCATCTATCTCCTATAGAAGACGAGAAAAAATGGTCTTGAGAGCTCATTGGTACATTAAGAAATTCTTTTTTCTGCTTTATTCGTTTTTTTCTCCGTGAATATTTTTTTCCGTGGCGCATGCGCTTCAGGCTAAACATTTTACAAAACTCTTGAATTAGAACGTCCAACCGATCATTTGTGAATTCCATAGAATTTTTTTTGAGTTTTCGAGAAACGCAGTCATCATATATTACTATTGATTCTGTTTTATCTTATACTAAACTCCTCTCCGTATCCGCTATTCCAAAATTAGTTTCGTAAAATGTACTAAATTAATTTTTTCCGTGTAAAAAACTCTGAAAAACTAAATGTTCTATTCTTTCATATTTCCCTACATGGATATTTTTATAAATTAAAATACAGTCAAATGAAAAAAGTAGTTAATAAATATTTCTTCAAATACTAATTTCTTGTGATAAAAATTTGTTTAAAAGAAAACTCGAATTATTGCAGTTCTAATAAGTAGATATTTTAAGTTTTTTATTTCGATACCACAAAAATTGTTGCAAGTTCAATGTGGGGAATATTCATTCGTCCCCAATTATGTTCAAAAATTTTAAAAAAATTCTTATCAAAATTTCAAGTTAAAATTCTTCTCGGAAATTCAATTATTTTAGAAAAATTTTAATAAAATTGTTGGGAAAATTTAAATTATTTTCATAAATAATAAAACTCATCGCTGGATTTTAATTATTTTTTATACAATATTTTAATAGAATTCCTCGAAAAATGTAATTATTCTTAAAAATTTTATTAAAATTTGTCAAAAGAATTCAATTAGTTAAAAATTTGTTAATAAAATTCTTTACACTGAGAAAACTGGAGAGTCAAATTCAGAGGTTCAAAAAGTATATGTTTCCTTTACTTATGAAGAGAGTCCTTCTAAAATAAATTTTGAATTGGTAATGGAAATCTACTTGTATATTCTCTCCCATTATATCTGAGGGTTAAAAGTTGCGCAGAAAATGTGTACGATCTGATGCGCGCGAAATTATTTTTCTGACATTTTATGTATTTAAGGGGCACACCTAGTGTGAGTGACTGAAAAAAACGTCGATTTTTAGAAATTTTTTTCAGGGAAATTATTGCATCTAATTTTTTTTAAAGTTTTGTACATGTATATTTGTATAAATAGTGAACATTTTGTAATTTTTGCAAAGAAAAATGTATATTTGTATAAATAGTGAACATTTTGTAATTTTTGCAAAGAAAAATATCTTTTTTTTAAAGAGTTATTCGCTATATCCAAAAAAAACCAGTTTCTCCACTGCTGCAGTTATTGCGGCCTTCTCAGTGACCTAAATCAAAAAAACCAAAAAGATTATTAAACTAGAAGATATTTGCCGTACAATGACCCTCGGACGAAAAAAAATATTGAATTGCAACAAAATGGCGGAGTTTTGAAAAAAGCTTATAAATTTCGCCTAAAAAATCCGATAGTTTTTGGCATCCCAAAATTTTATTTTTCATCCGAAAAAAAAACTGGAGCCTCATAGTATGGCAAATATCTTCTAGTTTAATAATCTTTTTGGTTCTTTTGATTTCAGTCACTCAGAAGGCCGCAATAACTGCAGCAGTGGAGAAACTGGTTTTTTTTTATATAGCGAATAACTCTTTAAAAAAAAGATATTTTTCTTTGCAAAAATTACAAAATGTTCACTATTTATACAAATATACATGTACAAAACTTTAAAAAAAATTAGATGCAATAATTTCCCTGAAAAAAATTTCTAAAAATCGACGTTTTTTTCAGTCACTCACACTAGGTGTGCCCCTTAATTTAGGGGTTAGGTTGCCATATTTATTCATTTCGCGCCGGAAAAGGAAGGGATTTCTCAAGATGGTTAATTTGTCCCTCTGTTATAAACTCATTTTCCCTCCAAGAGAAATGGCACGAATATCTGTTAATAATGGTGTATTTGAACATTTTAGATTGTTATCCAATAGCTAACTCTCAAATATGAACGATTTGTCCCTCCAGATGCTTAGTCCAATACTCCAGTTTTCTCAGTGCGTGAGAATTCAATTTTAACAAACATTTAATTATTCAATAAATTATTTATTTTTTAATTTAAATAATTGAATTCTTCTAGAATTGTCTAATAAAAATTGATTTAAAAATGAATTACCGAATAATCAATTTATTATTTATTTAATAATTGAATTATTGCAACGAATTTTATTACATTTTTTTTAAATAATTGAATTTTGTTAAGAAATGTTATGGTGATCGTTGTCTTTATGTTGTATAACAATATTTTTAAAGTTGATTAATTTCAAAAAGATTTGAATTTGAATGTTTTGAAGAATTTTAATTCCTACGGAAAAATAATAATGATTAAATATTTATTTAGAAAAGAAGTTATTGATGTTTTTGAATAATTTTACAATTAAAGAAATTTGTAAATAAATGTAATAGTACATTTTTTTGAGTATCTAATAATTTTTAGAGTGAATCAGAATATTTTTTAGGGTCAGGAAAAAAGTGAAAATTTTGTCTGGAAATCAGGGAAAGTAAAAAAAAAATAAAAAATAAATATTTGTGGCAACCCTGTATTTGTTTAAAAAATTACACGGAGAAACTTTTTCTTCTAATATTGAATATATTTAGTTATCTTTATTCTAAAAGTACGTTAGAATGTGAGGATTTTTCGTGCGTTGTGCTAATAATTTCAACATTAATACGAAAATATGATAAGTTCGTTATATATTAAGCAACCTTCGGTGTACAAAAACTACTACCTGCATTAGAAATAGTCTTATTTTTCTTTAGAAAAGAATAAGATGCCAGTTTTTGTTTGTGAAATGATACAGTAATTCTAACCTTTTTTCCACATATAGATATAGAATATATAACAGACATTCTAATTTCTAACGTAACATACCAATTTTGGAAGGACTGCGGGCGGACTTAACCGATTTCGCCCGAGCATCACCGAGTCCATCACCTGACGTCGCGAACTAACCCTAATGTTTTCGAAGATGAAATTCACACGTGTATGAAAGAAAAAAACCTTTTATTAATAAACGTGAATGTCTCCTCATGCCAAATTAAATTCAAGAACTGTTCCTCAATATAACATAATTTTTTTCACGACTTTTACTTATTTACATAATTTGATTAGTAAGTTATTTTAAAAAATGCTCTCTCTCGAAGGCACATATTTTTCCACTCGTTTAATATATAAGGACGATTCAGCTGTGTACTTCTAACGAATCGTGCGATCTTTCGGTTTCCGTGACCAATCGTCGTGTCTTTACTTGCGTGTGCGTGTGTGCGTTAATAATATAGGTTAGGTTCTTACGTCGTGTTAAATATATTTACCTACAGTTACAGTGACATACACTAATGCCATCTACCATCAGATCCTAGTATCACTATCGTCTCTATGAGTATCTATAGACAATTAATTTGTTGTGTTTCTTTTTAATTCATGGCTTTCCCAACTTTGCAAAAATTATTATTTTCTTTCTAAAACAACATACTAATTTTCGTTAGTTTCCTTATGAAGAACTGTAAAATATATGGGCAATTCTCTGGAACCTTTAACTTTTGACTTGAAAAAAAAAATTTACTAGCACATTAATAAAAATTTGTATATAAATTAAAATTAGCATTTAGAATTTATTTTTGCAGTTAAAAATGTAATATTTCGAAGGTCTCATATATTTTTATTCTTTTTTAATAAGACGATTTTTTACAGGTTAAAATCTATTGTTTTCGATTGTTTTGGATTTAAATATTTTGGTTGTCTTTACTTTTTTATAATATTTATTATTTATTTTTTAATATTCTCTATTAGAGTTATATTAAATTTAAATTAAATTGGTCAAATTTAAATATTTTAATAAAAATTAGTGAACTTAATTATTATTTATTTATTTAATTAAATTTATCTTAATTGTAATATTTTTTCTAGATAACCTTAATAATTTCCTTCTCTGATGCAAGTTTTTCAAATTGTATTCTGCTTCTTTTTCCCTTTTTTTCCTTCTTTTTTCCCTCATTTGTTCTGCTTTTTATTCTAAATTTCTTTCATTGACCTCATTATTTTTAACTTTACGAATTACATATTTCTATTTTGAACTTTAAAAACAGAACGGTCAATAGTGAAGTTATCAATTTATCACACTGACAACCTTGAAATCCTAATTTATTGCGACAAAAAATTAGTTTTTTACGGTCCTGACAATTTCGGTCCTGACATTTTCACGTGTACCTCCTTGTATCTCGATAATTATTGAAAATTTTAAGGCGTGCTTTTACACACAAGTAAAAAATATAATTGTGCGAATGTGCGTACAGGTTTGATAAATTTTTATAGTTTTGTTTAATTGTGCCGAATCATTTACGGTCCTGACATAACCAGGTTCTCTGTCGAATTCAAGAACAATATTCTTCAATAATTTCAATATAAATTATTGCACATAAAAATTTCAACTGGCCACAGTTTTAGTAAGTTTTAAGCTTTCATTCTATGTATTGTTGAATTCATTTTATTAAGGCACTCTTGAAATATCTGCAAGTACGTTTGCAGTTACGGTCCTGACACGAAAATAAGGGAAATTTTTCGAAATTAAAATATCTTTACTTTCCAAATGCGTATAATCTTCTAATTACTTTTAAAATAATCCTTAGATATTCATTTACATTTATGTATTCGTCGTTTTATTCTATGTTGATGTTCCAACTTATAAAATTAGTTTATGTTTCTGAAAGTACCTAAAGGGACTCTCGTGATTTGCTTACTTTTCCACATTAAAAAATATATATTAATTACTAAACATAATTTAATAATTTTTAAACTAACATATTTTAATATTATTAAACATTCTTTACATGGAACAATAATTCTTTTTATAAAACATTTGATATATCTTGAGTAATTGCATAATAAATATAAGACACGTAAAGGTTAAAGGTTCCAGAGAATTGCCCATATACTGAATTAGTGTTTTTGATAGTCTCAATAGCAATTTCTATAACCTATGTCGTTTTTCCCTTGAATCTAACCTAACATACTAAAATGTCTCACCAGTTTTAAGAATTAGTGGTATTAAAAGTTTCTCCGTGTAGTTAACTAAATTTTATTTTAATAGTTATCGATACTAAAATATCTTTTGAATAAAAATAAATTTAAATCTTTTCCTGATCAGAAAGCCGTTTTAACGAAAGTCTCATACTAATTAATAATAAAATTAAAAAATCTTAACAGCAATATATTTTGTAACTGAAGTTTTACTAAATTGTAGTTTATTTTTAAATTTTAATGAAAGTTTAAATGAATATTCTGTATTTGTTATATAAATATAATTTTTGGGTAAATTTATTTTAGATGCGTAAATTATAATTTAAAGATGCATGCATTTATTTCAAAATCAAATATTATTTCATTATTAATTTATATTTTTTCTTGCACAAATACATTTTATAATTAAATCTAATATATTAAACATTTTTCTCTCTAAATACAGATATTCCAAACCAAGAACCAGATTTAATTAGTGAGAATAAAATAATTCCACACTACCCAGGCAAAAAAGCAGAAGAAGAGTCTCACATTTTTTCCTATTTTGTAGCGTTTTCTTTGCTCTTTGTATGTTGTTACATTGGTTACCTCAACAAGAAAAAGGTATGTAACAAATTACTTTTAATTTTTTATTTATATTTAAATTATTTAAAAATTTTGAAAATGCAATTCATTTTACATTAAGTATACTCGCAATATAAAATGCAATTGAAGCATTGGGTGCAAGAAGGGCGTTAAGTGGATAACGCCTAATTTGATATTATTTAGTGAAAATGATTACAATATCCTCTATTTTAGATTGCTAAAAATTTATTTCGATATAAGACTTTTTGACGATGCTAGAAATAAATAATATTTGGGCGAATGTCATTCAATTTTTGTAGCTTTAAATGTTTGTCAATTAAATTTGCATCTAGAAACAAGTGAAGTGTAATGAACATTTCATTACACAGGGTGTCCAGCGTCCGGGAAAACCGGAAATTTAGTTACACCGGGAAAAACTCAGGAAATTGACGAAAATTTCACTAATTTGTTAAAATTTAGAGAAAATTTTTATATAAGTCTTATTCTTATATCCATATTCTTTAACAACTTTTTAAGAAAAACTATTATATATCAACGATTACACGTTAAATTTCAGTCCATATTTTAAGTTTGAATAAAAATATTTTTTATCCATTCTGTTCACTGAGAAAAATATGTTTATTTGTACTGGGTACTGTCCGGACAGAAATGATCCCTGTCCAAAATTTTTTTTTCGTTTAGACAGTACTCTTTGCTTTTTGGACAGGAACCATTCCTGTCCAGAAAGGACTCAGTAATGAGACATTAATAAAACAGATAGTAATGAACAATGTCTGGACAGCAACAACTCCTGTCCAGACCTACCCAGGCGCGAAGTGACGCCGAGTTCAGGCTTTATAAAGATTGGCTTTAATGTAACACCGATTCCAGACTGCTGCGCGAGCCTTGATTCAGCATTGGACACCAATGCTCAATCAATGCTGCGGAAACCTAATGCAGGACTGAAACAAGACTGCTTCCACTGTTCCCAAATGTATGTGTGTATGTGTGTATATATATATTTAATGACAATAAGTTACTATTATAATATAATTACATTATTTTCATATAAATAATATATTACTAACAATAAATGTCATTTATTATATAATAATAATAAATATTATTATTTTAATTCATGTATGTGTGTATATATATATATATTTAATGACAATAAGTTACTATTATAATAATTATATTATTTTCATATAAATAATATATTACTAACAATAAATGTCATTTGAAATAGTAATACTAAAAAAATAATTTTAGTAAAAAAATACAATTTTTCTGTTAATCGATACATTTTTTTCTCGATTTTTCAACAGACTTTTAACATTATTTACAAACCATGTTCACATTTTTTATTCACAACACAACACACAATTTTATTATTTTATATGACGCTTAAAACAAAGAATAAAAAATATTCGCTCGCATGTGGGATCGAACTCACGCCCCCCGCCCCTAACGCATACCGGAAGTATCTAACGCACGCATTTAAACCGCTCGGCCGCAGAAGGCTAAAAGGCTTTTCGCCTAATCTACTATGAAGGAGTTTACACCGTAAGCCTTAAATATAAGCCTCCGCGGGCATAAACAGATATGCCTCCATGAGGATATACTTGCGTCTGCGCAAAGTGTTTGGCTGCAGTACTCCCCAGATTGTCCTTAACTGGGGTCACTCATTACAAAATTCATGTAATCCATCCATCGTATTTAAGGACTTAATTAACTTTAATTTCCCCAATCACACACTTTTCTTCACTGATGGCTCCAAATCTGATATGGACCACTTGGCAGGTTGCGCCTTTGTCTGCCCTTCTCTAAATTTAACTTCCAAATTTAAAATTTCAGATCACGCGTCAATTTTTTCATTAGAAGCATTTGCAATTTTATTTTGCCTAGATTATATAATTAGTTCTCATCTCTCTAACACAGTTATTTTTTCAGACTCTCTTAGTGTCCTCAACAATTTAGCTTCAAAAAATACATACAAAATAAAATCTTACATAATCTTTGCAATTAGAAATAGATTAAGAATACTCAACAACCTGAATCGTCCAACAACTCTTGTTTGGGTTCCAGGTCATTCAGGTATTGAAGGAAATGAAAAAGCGGACATTGCGGCCAAGGACGCAACTGCCAACCCAGATTTAGTTAACATAACTCTCCCTTTTTCTGACTTCTTTTGCCTCGCCAAAAAACAATTATTCGACAGTTGTAACTCTTTCTTTAAAGATGTAGGTAAAAACAAGGGTATTCATTATACCCAACTTTATTACAAACCGCGTAAAAAACCATGGTTTGCGAACTTTACAGCTCGCAGACTATGGATCGTTTCAATATGCCGCGCGAGAGCTAATCACTACAACCTGAACGCGAGTCTTGCTAGAAAGAATTACATCCAGTCGGGCGATTGCCCACATTGTCCTAATATAGAAGAAGATCTAGACCATATATTGTGGGCCTGTCCCAGATTCAATGCTCTTCGGGTGGACCTTATAAAATCTCTTTCGAGAACTTTAAAATGTCCCCCTCCTTTTAGTTGCGTTCAATTTCTTACCAATCCTACTCCCAGGGTTGTTTCTCACATTTTTAGATTCTTAAAACGCGCTAAAATAAAAATCTAAATTAATTTAATTACTATTATTACTTATTTAATTATCTTTCATTTATTCTCTTTTTTGAATTTCGCTCTCTCCTCCACCGTGTCTCATTACGGGTGCGCGGTGGTTCAACCGGGGACCCATCTTGGATCTCCGGTTGCACCTCCGCGCGCCCGGACGGCGACACCTTTTACTTCTGTTCACAGATGTTAAGCCTCATCCACTCACCAGGTCATGGCCGGATATACAGGCATAAAGGCAGTATAGTACGGAAGCGCTCATGCGCAAACCCTAGCAAGTGTGCTTGCCTACCGCTCTGAGCATCTCGAAGCAGCTCGGCATGTGTGCATATAGGCACACCTGCACGTGTGCTTTGAATGTTTTGATTCTCATCATTTTTCATAAATTAATAAAAACTAAGTGCCTTATTTAATTAAACTGTTAACAATAATTATAAATATTGCTTAAAGTAATAAATAAAATATATTTTATTGAAAAGCGCTTAATTTAATTTATTTCACTGATTTTTTTTCAAAAAAATTTACATAACCTCAATATAATTTAACATCTACTTTATGTTAAAAGCAAGAACTTTATTTTGTTTTAAGATAATTCTATAACATTATTGTTCAAAGTATATAATATAGTTATAATGAAATTTAAAAAATTTAATTTTATTTGTTATGAAAATATTTATTATAAAAAAAAAATTATAATACTATAACATGCGACACAATTTTAGATGGAGTTTGCGAAGGAAAAAATAAAAATAGAATACAAAGAGGAAAAGCAATGCATTTTTGTAATTGACAATAAAGTGAAAAAAGCTATGATGGATGGATAATAAATAAATAAAATAAATATTAATAAATAATAAAATAAAATAATAAAAAAAAATAAATAAAATAAATAAATATTTTCATAACAAATAAAATTAAATTTTTTAAATTTTATTATAATTATATATTATATACTTTGAACAAAAATGTTATAGAATTATCTTAAAACAAAATAAAGTTCTTGCTTTTAACATAAAGTAAATATTAAATTATATTGAGGTTATGTAAATTTTTTTGAAAAAAAATCAGTGAAATAAATTAAATTAAGCGCTTTTCAATAAAATATATTTTATTTATTACTTTAAGCAATATTTATAATTATTGTTAACAGTTTAATTAAATAAGGCACTTAGTTTTTATTAATTTATGAAAAATGATGAGAATCAAAACATTCAAAGCACACGTGCAGGTGTGCCTATATGCACACATGCCGAGCTGCTTCGAGATGCTCAGAGCGGTAGGCAAGCACACTTGCTAGGGTTTGCGCATGAGCGCTTCCGCAGTATAGTGCCAATCAAATTTAACTTAACTTAACTTAACTTAACTGTGTGGTGAAAGAGTTTGCCTTGACCACGTGTTCGCGCAGGCGCAAATATATACTCCTGGAGGTATATCCGTTTATGCGCGCGGAGGCTTATATTTAAGGCTTACGGTGTAAACTCCTTCTATATCAATGCCAGTGCCGTCACTCAATATTGGTTCAGCATGGGACACCAATTGAATGTTCGTCCCATGCTCGATTCAAGACTCGGTCAATCTTGATACAATATTCAGTTTCTTTATTACCGTGTGCACTGTACAATATTATCTATAAATATTTATAAATTATTTAATATTAAAATATTTTTTATGATAATTTTATAAGTTAAATTATATATATTTTTTTTTTCTTGTACAGTGTCAAATTACTATTTTCAATGTTCAAGAGTTTCGTTTATTTGAAAATTTTTAGTGAAAAAAATGTTCATTAGGTAGTAATAAATATTTATGCTTAGTAGTGTTACGTCCGTAACCTATTACTCTATAAATTATAATGTATGTGTGTTCTTATAATATATTATATTTACCTTATATATATTTTCTAACTCTTATAATTTACGTATTAATTATTGCCTTATATTCAGTATATTTCTCTATTAAGATATTGTAATTATCATTTATACACATTTCTATATTAGTATTATATTCAATACATTTTTCTATTTTAATATTATATTCTATTGTCATATATTATTTGCATATTGATTACTATACAAATGTACACTATGTATTTTGAAACTGTAACAATCCAAGAAAGGAAAGTAATACTATTACTCATGTAAAAAGAATAACGATGAAGCGACAATTCGACAAACCTTCTGAAAACGCAGGCCGGACGAAAGAAAGTAAAAGCAGCAAACCCCGAGAAGTTTAGGTGAACAACAAACGCCGAGAAACTTAACGAAAGGGCGATACGTACAATCTCCCGTTGGAAATATCGACAACGCATAGAGAAATTCTTTCGTTATTAACTAGCACAAGGAGAGACAAATTTTAGCACGTGTACAATTTTTCGGCATCATTACAGTTATGAAAATCTAATATAAAAAGG